TCTCTCTCCCTCCCTCTCTCTCTCTACATTCCTGTCTCTGGGACCGATCTGTGAATCAGCACGTGTGGCTGCAGATCTGCTCATTTCCCAGTATTTATGGGCATGTTCTATGCTTCTGTACAGCCCACATGGGCAGCTGACCATAGGCCACATCAGTCAACATCAACACACATGAAATCATCGGCATAAATACTACATAAATACCACATGAAATACTACATAAATACTAGGATCAGTTGAACAGTGATGTGAAGCCATCAGATTTGAAATGATGAAAACAGAGCTGTGATGCAGTTGTCATGTCTGACCACTAGGAGTTACACTGAGCAGGAAAACTACTGGTCAGAGTTAAGAAATAGATGTGTCCCAAAACACTCCCTCATTCCCTGCTCCCTACGCCCTCTATAGGGAATTATGTATAGCGCGGTGTAAGGTTTCGGAAACGACTTTGACGCCCAGTTGATTACGTCATTTCTGTCGCACAATTTAAAATGAACCGAATTGACGCTGTCATGACTGCAATGCATGATGGGATATATTACTTTGGTAGTGACTGTTGGTTGTACACTACATGTGGCGGTGAATTGTGGGATACATGGAGTGTCCTTTATAGTGGACTGCTTCTACTCACCATGGCGTGGCCCCCAGGGGGCGGTTTTGGACACAGATGCTGTCCAACATATAACACAGGCGTGTCCAAAGTACGGTCGGGGGACCAATCATGGCCCTGTAGCAACGTTGAGTCTATTATTTATGGCCGGCAGGACAATCAAACAGAACTAATAAATGATTCAAGGCCGAGGACTGGACTCGGCGGCCGCAGGTGCTTTCAGGAGACTGGTGAATAAATAAAAGGTTCTACGTTCTACTGTGACGCGTTCCGCTAACTTTAACTCTGTGAAGTGGTGACGTAGACACAGTGTTTACACCTGGGTGGCCTACATTCAACTTCAGTGTCGTTTGACCAAAGTCAGTTGTTTACATGATATATATATTTATATATTAAATATATATATGAAAAAATATATATTTTATATATATACAAATATATATGTAAAGAAGGTGAGAATGTATTTCTCACCATTGAAGGGAAGAGTTTTTGGGTCATGTCAGCAACTTTGGTTTCAGTTTGTAGGAAAGGCTCTGGATGCGACACATCGACCCCTACAGTCAAGTAACGAAATTACTTCAGTACCAGCATTGCAACAAAAAGAAAAAAAAAGAAAAGAAGGCGTAATATTAGTAAGTTCAGCCAGGCTGTTGACTCTTAATGCATCACCGTAATTCAACAGTGATGTTTTTAATTATTTTTCAGTTGATGTTGCGCAGCACTTGTAATATCATTTTGAGCAAAGATCTGCTCTGCCGTTTCAGAAAAGCCACATGTCGAACCACTAACGTCAGTTCTCTGACCTCTGGAGATAAAAGAAAAGTCTCCTTTGAATCGATAAGAAAGCTTTTACTGCGACTGGTGCCCAAATATCTCCTCTTAAATCTCTGCCTTCTGTTTGTTTTTTTCCCAGATGACAGCGAAGGTCTCGATCCAGAGAAGTTCGATGACGTAATGGACTTTATCGAGGCGACCATTGGAAGACTCCGGAGATCGTCAGAGTCCGACGGAGGCTCCAGGGGTCGGAGGGAACGAAGACAGAGAGGAGCGGCAAACACGGATGGCTCGAGAGGCGAGGGGAAGTCAAACGGCGACAGGAGACGAAGTCGGGGCCGAGCGGGAAGCCGAGGCGGCAAAGGGGGCCGGGGCGAGAGAGGGAGGGAGAGATTATCGGTGCAGAGCCGCGGCTGTTTACTGAAGGAGGTCCACCTCAACGTCACGGACTTGGGCCTGGGCTACCAGACTAAAGAGGAGCTGATTTTCCGCTACTGCAGCGGCCCCTGTGTGGAGGCGGAGACAAACTATGACAAGATCCTGAACAACCTCACACACAACAAGAAGCTGGACAAGGACACGCCCTCTCGCACCTGCTGTCGACCAATCGCGTTCGACGATGACTTGTCTTTTTTGGACGACAACGTGGTTTATCACACGCTGAAGAAACATTCTGCCAGGAAGTGTGGCTGTGTCTGATGATGTCACAGAGGTGTGGTGACATCACGTCCAGGTCAGGTGACCTGGACATGAACAGGAAGTGTGGAATCAGTCGTTTCATGACTGGACTGTTAGACTCCTCCCAGTCATGTGACCATCAGACACATCAGGAGGAAGTCACTTTGTCGTTACGACTACGTCAGATCTGCAAACAGTGTTAAGTCAAGAAAATGCAGAAGACGTTGTTTGTTTGTTTGTTTGTTTTTGTGGAACGATACAGTTTTTTCTCGGACTAGCGGCCGAACTCTTAAGACGAACGCAGAGATCTTCTCAGTCCGTTCAGCTGCGGTCAACATCACTTCCATCGCAAACTCTTGACATCCATAACCAAATAATAAGAAAAACCAAACCAGGGTTCAGCAAAGACTTCTGGGTGCAACGCATCAACATAAAATCCAACTATATATATGTATAGTATATATATATATATATATATATACACGTGTGTGTAAGAGGTATATTTATTAAGATAGAATTAACTTATTGTTATTTATTTCAGTTCATTTTATGAAACATGTTTTCCTATTTATTTAAAAGCTTTGTTTTTGTCCTTGACGGTGCCAAAGTGGAGCAACTTCTCATCAAAACCCTGCAACTGCTCAACACTCGCTCGTACACAAACCCATCGTAACGTTGCTTATTTGCTTCACTTGAATTCCAGGGAATCGGAAAATCAAAGTTTGTGAACAGTATCTGGACCAGTGGTTCTCAAATGGGCGGGAATTCAAATTCAAACGTTTTAAACCAACAGGTCTGGTCAAGGTTGTGACCAGTTTATTAGGAAAAAAATAAAACCTGGCACAAAGGCTAACGCTAGTTAGCAGGTTGTGTAGCAAAGCTAATTTCCCCCTTAAAACAATAATTATTAGTAATCATGTACTGTACCAAAAGAAAGAAGAAAAAACTATTGTAAGCAACAAGGACGTGTCTCTTAATTGCTTTGGTGCTAGCTAATTAGCATAGCACGATGATAACAGCTGGCATTTTTAGCTACTGATGAGGCGACATGTTTGCGGAAGGATTGCTAATTTTGTAGTTTATATTTCGACACATTCCCTTTGAATTAATTTTAATGCGGCTAAACGCTTGCTAACCCTACTTTTAAATTTGTTTTCATATTTTATTGGTGAAACATGAATATAATGAAGAGTCGATAGCTTAATCAAATAGTGTTTGGTTCTTGAGGATCAAGCTACTAATTCCACTGGACAAACTCTTGTCTGATGTCCATATATTGGAACGCCGTGACCTACTTTTGTGTTACAAGCCACCATTTGAGAAACACTGATCTAGAACATTAGATTTGGAGAGTGCGCGGAGATGGAATAGGGGACCAAAAGACGTTTTTTTTTTTTTGTTTGAAGTGATCTGTATTATGGAGTGTTCTCTGGGACAGCAGGGGGCATGTTTTTTTTTTCCTTTCCGACTGTTTTCACCTCATTTTCACCCACGTGTCCACGTAACGTCGCCGTCTTCGTCACAGGCTACACACGGTCGTTCAACCTTTTTACTTGATTACATGTTTACAAGGAGGGAAACGGCTCTGCTGCTTTGTTTGGACTTTCACATTAAACATCCGAGTTCCCCAACCGGAGCCGCCACCGTTATCGTCAACGCAGTGTAGACGTCTGTCCGACCATCAGGAGGTGCCTTCCAGTCAGGGAGCACAGAAGCTGCTAGAATACCTGCCTAATGGCGTAGCGCGTCACCCGAAACCTCACTCTGGCCGAGCACCAGGTCGTGAACGTCGGTTGCCGTCCCATTAGTCTTCGAACTTCATCGGACGGCCCATATTTCTGTCTCAGCTCTGACAGGCCGCTCTTTCTGCCTGAAAGGGGGTTTTTGAAAGCGATCCTCTTAATACGAGTCTTAACCAAATACCCCGGCGGGTGCGACAGACAGTTTAGAGAGGGCAATTGAAGGAGCGGGAGCTCCTGGTGTAAACATGTGAAGAAAAAGAAGTTTCCGTGAAGACAATGGGTCGGTACTGCGGGCCGGGTCAGTTTGTTTATGCGACTACTGCGGTAATACACGTCCAGGCCAGCGGCATCACTGCAGTACTCATCCAGTAGTATTTGCTCAGGGAATGTTTTAAAGTGGAACACCGAGCGCCCTGGGGTGGTGATCACGATGCGACCACGGATTAGGGACCAAGGTATCTGTGCCCACCCAGCAGCAGAGGCAGCTTTGGAGTGTAATCCCCCCTGAAAACAGAACAAATCCACGGCACCGGGCTGAATCCAGGCCAACGACTACACTGAGAGTTCAAAAAAAAAAAGTCCGGCTTTTATCTCGGCATACCTCGTCAATTGGATCATCTTCTCCTTTAAACAACTGATTTGTCCGTAAGAATTTCCAGATGAGAATGTGCAGTTAGGATATTTCCCAGAAGCCTCGGAGCGTCGCGCCCGCTCCTCGATACCATACATTAACGTGTGTAAACTGTGACCGGGGGTTTCTCTCATCTTAGTGACAGCTGTTTGCTCAACGGCTCCGCGGCGTTACTGTAGGTTACCCCAGTGGTAAACTCGGACGTAGGTAAAAAAAAAAAAAAAAAAAAATGCGAAAGGAATCCTCAGTGTTCGTATAAAAATAAATATTACTAAAATATACTTTCACTCCCGGTTTGTGCTAACACCTCTGTGAAGAAGGAAAAAAAAACAAAACAAAAAAAAACCCTGTCATGTTGTCTCACTTGTTTTTGTGTTACAGAACCAAAGCTCTCAGCAAACTTTTATTTTTGTACAATATCCATTTTATAACTTTTTACAGAATAAAACTTGTTTTTATTAAACACGGCGTCTGCGTGTGTTTTCTGGTGCGCTGCCATCCGCAATTACGCTGCCGTGCCAGATGTTGCTAATTAGGCCGCGGTGTGTTTACACAGGCATCGTGTAAAATTGGAGATGAAATGGAGGATGGTCGGGGAGATGGCCTCTTCGCTTTCGACGTCCCGTCCTGTTCTGCATTCCTGAACACCAGCCCAGGGTCCAACAGTAAACAAAAGCTAACAGTTAAGAGCCACTGAGCTGTAAATCAAGGCGCCCAAGAATTTTTCCACTGCGCGAGAAAGATCTGTGGACGACGACGGTGAGAAAGTGGAGGAGCTGCAGGCGATTCGTCACAGAGAAGGGCACGAGGTAAGAGTCCCAGTCACTTCTCAGCACTCGTCTGAGAAACAAACTCAAGGTTCCGTGAAAAAAATTGTTTTTTTGTTTTTTTTGGTTCGTTCTAAATTTGGTTTGTGTCGCATCATTTACAGCAACATCAACAGTTTGTTGGTTCAATTCCTTTCGGGTTTCTCCAGGTACCATTTTCCCCAAAACATACAGTATGAGTTTAATTCACCTCCCCTATCCCATAACCTCCAGAGGGTCCTCGGTGCAGCACAGTTGACCTTTTGACCCCGGTCCCTTCATTCATCCCTGTCCTCGGCTGCTCTCACCGACGTGTCATTTGAGTCCGTCCTTTGATGTCCTGAGGCACTCTCTTTTGTCAACCTCATCTCGCGCCACCTGGTACAGGCGGCGGCCTTTGCGAGACCTAAGCTAACGTTTCTTCATTACAGTTAGCAGGTCGCCATGGTGACCAATGGCTTGACTGATCTTTGGCTGGACGTCCTTTGTCCTTGTTCGCTCTTAATTCATTGTAGGTGTGGATTGGTCGTTGTCTCAATACGTGAGGGACCTGGGTGAAACTGAGGAGCTCCAGGTCCTTCACCATCAACAAAAGAGGAGGAAGTTACTCGACCAAGTCAAGTATCTTTTTGATGTGTCGATCCGATACCAATGGTACCGATCCAATGTTGGTCAAATTTTTCCGGGATGGAACATCAAAAAAAGCAACTATAGCCAATCTGATACTTGAGCCCAAATGCTCAACTGAACTTCACGACATCCTGGAAACAAGGACACAGCATCCGACAGTCCACGGTATGTTGGAGGAGAAATCGGATTAATATTGGTATCAGTGAATAGTCCAAGATGAAGCATCGGTATCGATATCGGACATAAAAAAAATGGTATCAAGCCATCCCTAGTTTCCCTCCAGGGGTCGCCAAAATCTTGTCCTGAACAGAATTTTACTTTCATGTTAACGCTGACATTTGAAGACATGTCGTACGTTGCGTCTGTCCCTGGACTGCCCTCTTCAGGAAAGGCTCCAAGACATTAAAAGCTAATTAGGGGCATTTATATATTGAAGTGGCGACACTAGCTCTTCTTTATACATTGTTTAAAATGTGACTCCTGATCAAAACAAACAACTATATCAGAGTTTATTGGCCAATCGGAATAAATATTTACATAACAATAAATTAACAGCGGGTTCTTTGTCCTCCAGAGTCAAATAAACAGCAGTATCAAATAAAGACACTATAAACATTTAAATGGAGAGAGGCGGGCGGGCGAGGACTCGAACCAGCAGTCGCTGGATTTACAGATGGCCTTATACCGATGGTGTTTTGGACTGCGCGTCCTCCCAAGAACACACTGGGACGACATCAACGACGTCAGCCTTAAGTTTGACACGTATGGCTTAAGGGCTCAAACCTGAGTTGTTCTTAGTGTAAGGCTAGAGCGGCGACCACCCTGCCACCGTGTGGTCTGGCAACTGGAAGGAACCTGCGGTGACACACCAGTGTCTGCACATCAGCGTGATGTCATCCACAGCTCGTTCTGGAGCGCCCGTGTTCATGTGAGCTCGCACACAACACGACACGTGCGTTTCATTTGAGACACTTGATGTGGTCACGCTGGATTACATCAGGAGCTTCTTCTCCTCCTTTCCTGCTGCAGCTGCTGATTTGGCTTGACTTTTTTATTGGGTTCCTACATGTCCCGCCATCTTTCATTCTGATCGTTCATCGCATTTTGATGTACAGCGTGTTAGATTTAGCAGCATCTAGTGGCGACGATACACAGTGCGGCATAAGAGGAAACATGTGGTAAGGATTGTTTTTTTTAAAGATTGTGAAAATAAATATGAAATCCATTTCTTGGTGGTTGAATGTCACATGTTCCTGTCTTTAATAATGTGCTGAATCTAAAACACGCCTGCGTTTGTGGTCGGCTTCACACGGTGGACGAGAGTTTGACGTCATCTTTGCCTGCATTAGGCCAAGCTCCTCCCACTTTTTTTTTTTTACCGGGTTGCCCTTTCAAATCTCACTCTTCGTTTCCGTCCTCCCATATTTCTTGTCTTGGTTTTTTTTTTCTTTGTCTGGTGGTGATTTTTACGGCCGCCGGCTGTTCGCCAGGACACTGAGATTCTCAGTTGTCTGCTTGTAATTTTGGTTGGCCAGAAATGACAAAAAAAAAAAAAAGTCATCGAAGAGTTTCATCCAGTTTTACCCGTAATAAGTCACCAGTTCAACGACAGACGCCGAGCGCTAAGACTTTCCAGGTCCTTTTTACGACATCAAACTTTCTCCCTGAAAAACAAACGCAGCCCCAAAAAAACAAAAGGCCGCTCGTTTGTTGTGGGCAGAGGTTGCATTCCAGAGAGATGTGTAAAGAACACAAACATGGATTTGATTAGATCTGCACGTTGTGCAGTTCTCCGTCAGTTAAAATATTATCTGACACTGGGCAGGACATTCACGAGACGCAAAAAAAAGGACGAGACGACTCCAGGTTTCATTTTGGCTTAAAAAGCAGCTGCAAGTGTGAAGTTGTGTATCAGTGTGTTGGTGTGTGTGACTTTGGCCCTACAAAGACACACACACACACACACACTACACAGATGTGTACGTGACAGACAGGCTTCACTTCCACAGCAGTTGTGTAACCACAAAACGTTTGAGTTTTCTTTAAACGGACAAGTAAATGATAGAAAACAGAGTTTAAAAGACGAATAAATCTAAAAAATATTACAACGTGGCTCACTGGAGACAAGAATCCCGAAAAATGTAGCGCAAGATCTGAGAGCAGTGTCTGACCTTACAGCTAATCCATCAACAGTTTGCAGAAGCCTTGTCAGAAATACAGTAAATCAAAGGTTAAAACGGCCAAAAAATCTTGGGAAAGAAAGTAAGTAAAAAAAAAACAAAACATAAAAAACTGAAAACTACACGAGGACGCGGCCCAAGGTTTCACAAAATGACATTTTCATTTATGAAATACTTTCTGCTGTAAAAAAAAAAGGTCAGAAAAAAATTAATTCAACGAAACCTTCGTGAACCTTCAGTAACTCACTCTCAACTCTGTAAAGGTTCGGGGCTGTATTTCAGCCAGTTCAGTTGGACGCAGTCCAAATTGATGGGGCCAGAAATCTCATGCTGTCAATGCAGTGTCATCTGCATAGAAAGAATTTCTGAAGAACAACCAAAGCTTTTATTGCCAAGAAGTTGTGTTTTTTTTTTGTATTTCTTCGTTTCTGGTTCAGTCAGATTTACGAGACACAAATCAACTCAGTCAGACACAGAAGAACTCAGGAAACTCAACAGTGAAAGAGGCTTTGTATATATTTACATTTTGCTTTAGTCGCTTTAATCAGTCCCAAGACCCTGGAGGGGATTTCGTCCACACACACGGGGCGAGGATGAGACTGTAGACACGATGGTAAAAAAAAAGAAGACAATATTCTACACGATGCTAAAAAATCAAAACAAAAGGCAAAACAAAAAACATAGAAGAGATAAAAACATTAATTTCTGGTCTTCCATGATCGATCCTGACTCCGCGTTGGTAAATGGAACTTCTGACGAAGTTTTTTCAGATCTTGCGTTTCTTCCACTCCGGTTCGTCGTTAGCTTCTTCGTCCTCGTCTGATTCCTCAGCAAATAGAGGCTCAGGCTGCGTCCTTGAAAAAGACAATAAAAACAAACACAAACAAAGAGAGAAAAACAAGCAATGATTTCACTTTTTTCCCCTCGGATGAAAAATAACAAGCTGTGAAGCTGAAGACTAATTTCTTCTTCTTTTTCGTCAGACCATCTGAGGTTCAGATGTTACATGAAGCAGATGACTGTAGAGCAACTGGACTGAGACTGGACCTGCACTTCTTATTTTTTTCATTGTACTGTGTTGTACCTCAGCAGGATGGACTCGATGTTTAATGTCTCGGAGCCGAGTGCAGAGAGAGAGAGCCGGGGTGGTGAGCATTAATCTTAATGCCTGAGAGAAAAAAAGACCTGTCGCCAGCAGAGCGCGTCACCTGATATTTACTACACCGTACATCACAGCGGTGGCGGGGGCCGAGGACGCTCTGCTCTCGGTGCTGTATGTGAAACAGACGGCCGGTCTTGGCTCACGGCTCGGCCCGGCTCGGAGACTCAGGATAGGGATCTAAATCTGTCCATTACTGTCCTTCCTGCAGCCTGAAAAGTGAACCTGTAAAACTGCACTGCTCTTTAAACATTTACGTGTCACACCAGCTCGCCGAAACCCAAGCACTGTGACAACATCGCTTTAAGCGCCTGTCGCCGGCGTTCAGCTTACACCGTGTGCTAATGAAGAAAGGGGAGAAGAGGACGACGCCAACGACTCGTGTTTCTACGAATGAAAAAAAAAACCAAAAGCAGCATTAATTTTCTCCTCACTGTTTGTACGCCGGGGCGACCCAGTACGGGTTCTCGGAGGCCTCCTTGGCGTGACGTAAGATGGCTTCTCGGGGGTTACTGTCGTCCGTTATGTCCAAGGCGATGTTCTTCACGATGAACGAGGACAAGGTGCCGCCGTGAGCCGCCACTCTGCCGCCGCGACCTGTCAGGAAACACAGTCAGTGATTGGTTCAGTCTTAACCAAGGTGAAAACTGAACGTCTTTAGAACGTAACACCTGCAGCTCGACCGTCAGGTCGTTGGTCAAACCTCCATCACCGTTGATCACATTTTAACTCAAATTCCATCCATCCATCCATTTTCATCCGCTTATCCGTTGCCGGGTCGCGGGGGCAGCAGTCGCCACCCAAATCACATTGCACCATACCAACCCCCCAAACCTTCCTGCGGGTGGTGAGTCCACTGGAAGGTATTAACCGCCCTAACCGGGATTCGAACTTGTCCAGGAGGTGAACCCTGGGGTTCCACACCAATGACAGAGACATTGCCTCTGGGCCAAAGCGCCAC